TGAATAAGCAACTTTACATGTATGTAAAGTTCAGAATTCTAGAATTCTTAATTCTACAGATAATAGCAATGTATGAACTTTACATTTTGTAATTGTAATCGCGCAGCCCTCCTGTAATCATATGCTCAAAACCTAAACACTATTGCAACAAATAGGAGAAAAAGCCGAACGAAAACAACTTTTCAGAACTTAGACATAAAACGCGGCCGGTAAGTGGAACGGCCCAGCTGCGATGTTATTCATGAGATGTCGAAGTGAAAGAAAGTGTAGGTTGGTTTTTCCTTCATGCTTAAAATGACATCATTGTGTGATAAATAGAAGAAACAACAAACCATGTATCGTCAATAGTAACAGATAAAGTGGTGTGTTAACACAAAAGAAACAAGGTAGAAAACGAACAGCAAGCAACATGACGACTACATGTAAATCGTTCTCATTCGACCGTATTCGATGCTACTATGACGAAGACCTTGTTTTATGTTCGATTTGTCATAACATTCTCTGGCATCCTGTTGCATGTAAAACGTGTGAAAATTCATTCTGTTACGAATGTATACAACGATGGATGAAACAAAAGGCAGACAATAAATGTCCGTTTACTTGCAAATATGAAGAACGAAAGTGTACAGCGGCTATTATGAAAACATTATCGAAGTTACAAGTCAAATGTTAGCATGAAGAAAATGGTTGTTCATCTGTTCTACCATATGAAGCTCTTGAAAAACATGAACTCGAATGCGGCTATCAATCGAAATATTGTCAAGGATGCCAAGGACATGTATTAGAAAAAGACTACGCACAACATCAGGATAAATGTGCAGAAATATCCTTAAAATGCTCGAAATGTGATACAACATACAAACGAAAACATCTAAAACAACATACTAAAGTTCAATGTTTACAACAACAATTAGAACAACAAAGATGTCAACATGAACAAGAAATAAAACAATTGAGATGTGAGCTGTAGAACATTGCTATCTCGGGGAGGAGAACAGAAAGTACAAAAGAGTTGTATGAGTGATTACGAAGGTTAGTAAAGTCTGAAATATCTTCATAAAACACAAACAAACGTCACAAATGTCTGGACTTGAAGAAAACAGTTGGTCTATCTAATGACATTATTAACGGAAACTTTATGTAATATATGGCTTTTCCTGAAAAAATCAGTTTGGAACCTATAATGTGAAAAGAGTTTTCAAAACTTATTCCACATAGATTTGATATCAGTCTGTATATTCTCACAACTTGAAGATTTTGTCCCGTTCGAGGTTTTCGAAAAATATATTTCAAGTTTTGAGCTCTTTTGGAAGTTTCAAATGGTAACTTCACTTCTATGGCCCAAAAACTACTTTATTGCGGTGGAGGACCTTTTATCGCGCATTTGTTGTGCTAGAATGCATTTCTATCGAGAAAACGTCTTTAGTAGGATCTAGGAAAACAATACTAAGAATAGAAAAACAAACATTGCTACTAGATCCATCTGTGTCAATTATATATGTTCCATGCCATTTTCAGTTTACTCTAAGTCACTTGGTGTGACTTCGGTGAGTACGAAGGCTCCAATGAAACCTAGTACCCTGCCCGAACCGTCGAAAATCAAGATCTTCCTTGGTTTCCATTTCGAAGAGCACACCGTTGGTTACCTACTATTGAGAAAACGAAAATGTTCATATTTCGAATTTGTGAGCTATAACCTGGTTTTTCAAAGATTCTCTGAAAAACCGATCTTCTGTACCAGAATATAATGCACTCCAAAGTTTTTTGAATAACTTTTGAACGAAACGCGATAGAAATCTATGGTTTTCAGATTTCGAGACTAGACACTTTGAGCTGCAAACCTATGAAGAAATTAGGTCTACTGATCAGGTTTACCATGGTGTACTATTCGAGGCAAAATCCGAAAGCTCACTGTTTCTTGACCACACAATGAAATCCGAACTCAAATAACATCATTCGATAGCCAGCACATCGATCTTTAAAACTATGAAGTCCCCGGCCTGCGCCTCTTCTGACTCCGGAGATACAGGCGTTTTCCAAGGACACACCAGCATCGCTCTGGACTCATCTAGGAATTCCAAAAGCACCAAGAACATAGGTAATCGAACATACTGATCATCGTGGCAATGTTATTTTCCAGAATAAAATGTAAAAACCGAGTGAAAACCTATCCTAGGTGAAATAACCCAGCAAATAAAAAGCAACACAAAATACTTTAGTTTTCAGAAAGGTTTTGCAGAAATCTTTAGAACTAAGAAAATATTTTCTAATGATTTTAAGTACAGGATCAGGATGAGCGGATAAAGTAGAGTATATCTTGACATTGTGAAGTAGGTTGGATGGATTTTGACTAAGTTATGAATGTTTTAATGTTTGATGAAAATAATCAAAAATGGGTTACTTCACCTAGTATAGGTTTTCACTCGGTTTTTACATTTTATTCTGGAAAATAACATTGCCACGATGATCAGTATGCTCGATTACCTATGTTCCTGGCGCTTTTGGAATTTCTAGATGAGTCAAGAGCGATGCTGGTGTGTTCTTGGAAAATGCCTGTATCTCCGGAGCCAAAAGAGGTGCAGGCCTTGGACTTCATAGTTTTAAAGACCGATGTGCTGGCTGTCGATTGATATTATTTGAGTTCGGATTTCATTGTGTGGTCAGGAAACAGTGGCTTTCGGATTTTGTACTGCATTATATTTTGGTACGGATAATAGTTACGTACGTTATTCGAAACATATCCGAGGCCATTTTTTTTCTTACCGACAATAATTCTTGTTTAAAAAAAAGATAAATGTTTTCTAAAAATTAATAGTTCCCTCACTGTATTGACACGAAACGTTGCAAGTTGCGTCAGAAGACTAGAAATGACGTGTGCCTTTTAACCATATAATTGGAATCCTGCTGGAGGAAATCGATGAATATGATTGGTTGTTGACTATCAGCGGCGACAATAGAGTATGCGAATAGAACCAGTTTAGTATAGGAACTTTGATTAGAGTAGGTTACATGAGGCAACGATTTAACGCGATAAATCAATTAACGCGATAATCAATTCAAACTAATTTCGAGACTTAAAGAAATTTGAACAAATTTAAAAGGAAAGTCGTTCAGATTAATTTAAAAAATCTTTTTGCATTTAAAATTAATGCGCATCAATTTAAACCTTTGAATAAATATAAAAACAAATCATAAAATTTAATTCAAATTAATTTAAAAAAGGAAAAAAACTTGAAATTAATTTTAACTGATTTTTTCGTGAAAAAACTAATTTCCCTCGTGACCGCATTATATAAAGTGTCATATTAAATTAAGTGACACGAAGTTCGAATTTCGAATTAGTTTACATTAATTCGAAAACTCTTTGAAAACTCTCGAAAAAAACTTTCCATAAATGTTAGGTATAATGAGTTACGGAAACGAAAAAATTCTTTTGTCATTATGGTTAGAGGCTAAGTTTCCCGAAGCAACTTTTTGCGAGGAATTCAGTGACAATCTCAGAAATTCTTGAAAATGTTTCTAAATCGAAATAAGTATCTATTTTGATTGCAAAAAACTTGAAATTAATTTACATTAATTTTGGGTACAGAAATTCGTTCAGATTAATTTGGGATTTCAAATGAATTTTAGAAAATGTTTTTTAAATCAATTTAAATGAATTAGCTATTACAAATTGATTTAAATTAATTTACGAACAGAAATTAATAGAAATAAATTTTGTTTAAAGCACTTCAAAGAAATTTGAGTCTATAAATTAATTTAAACTAATTTTCGATACCAACTTGATGTATATCATTTTTCGTTAAATCGGTTAGAATAAATTTTTGATTGAAGGTTGATTTAAATTAATTTCGATTAATAAATCCATTTATATTACTTAGGGCAATCCAAAAGTAGTGAGGGAGGTACTTTATTTTCTTATAGAAAGCTTCAAAAAAATTTCTTTTTCTATGAACAGATAGAGCGTCTTTCGCTCTACTTTTCTATGCTATCTGATCACTATTCAACTAATATCATAATAATAAAATTTCTATAAGATCAGTTTCTTTCGCATATGTGCTGGTAGCATGAATGCTCGTAAGTACTTTTTGCATAACGTTTGATAGCAACAAGATAGAGAACTGCGGTTTTCACCGTTGGAAAGAGGAGATGAAGACGCATCGAAATGTATATTACTGATTTTTTTAATATGATTTCCGAAGTGTTTTTATTCAATTTTCTAACCGTCGAAAAAATTTTTGTTCATGAAAAAAAACAAAAAACAAAAAAGTTGATTGAAAATCATAGTAGAGGTTCGTCTAAAATACGTACTATCCCCAAATAATTAAATTTAAACATCTGAGTCTTTCGCAGTTTGTAGATCTTCGATTAGCGGTTTGAATGTGAGCCTGATTATTGAAAATTCACTGAA